GTTATGCTGCTGTGGAACTATATGACAGGATTGTAGCCAGTATTCTGTATTTTCCAGTATGACAAACCATATTGTGGAGGAGAAAAAAAAATACAGAACAAGAACACAGAGGAAAACAGCTGAGCTAAAATATATAGACCTGCTGGGCACCCATCTCAGAGACTGAATATCAGCCAGGGTTTCTTAAGCCATTGCCAAATGTGATAATTATTTTGTTTTCTACTATTATTTTCCTTCCCAATTCACCTTTTCAGAACAAGGTTCATAAAGTACATCATTCTCTAGCTGTTTCCTTTTGCTGTTTCCAGAACCAATCTCCAAAAGAAATGAATACCAAACTGGAGCCTTAAATAATTACTAGTCATGAAATGCAACCAAACACCACTGTCCCTTCATCTTAGAGCCATGCATGAATGTTTTACCGCGTAGTCTCTGTATTCTGACTCTTATGTCCAAAAAAGTAGACATTTCCCACAAAAGCTTAAATTAAAATATAACCATCTTTAAGATGCCACAATGTCTTTTTGGCTTTTGTTTTGTTTCATATTCATGGCATATGCTATTATATGTCATCGCTAAAAGGTTTTTATCAGTCAAACCCAAAGGCAGCTGAAGCAGTGAATGAGTGAATCATAATGTTAATGAAATCTGAATTTAAACAAATCCGAAGTCTTCTTCTCAGTTACCAATTAAAATGAATATGCAGTGGTTTCATCAAAGGAAGGGGTATGTATTCTGTTTGTTCCATTTCAGCAGAGCATCTGTACTGCAAAGCTAGCAGGCTTTGTCTTTTTTCTACATTTGATGCTGTGTTTGAACGCTGAAGGTTAAAGCAGTAGTTATATCTTCCTTAATGGGGCCTTTGAATGGAGGGTAAAAAGGCAAAGCCTGCTGATCTTTTCCTATAAAAGGATGTCAAAGAAGAACCTCCTGAACCAAGACTTTAGCAGAGCCAGCCTGCCTAGCCTTGGGCAACTGGCGCAGCCCCAGGGCTGGCCCAGAAGAAAGGAATGGGAAACCCTTCCTCAGTCTCCTCTACCGGGGAAAACCCTGAAAAGGGTCATCATGGTAAGTCAGAATGGACTTGATAGCATGTGCTTATACTGTATTACTTTTCTTAGAACCTGGGCTCCCCCTAGTGTCCAGAAGGGGCTTTGTGTGACACAGTTTGGGCACATTGGTTCCACACCTAGCCTAAGAGCCCTGGTGGATTAGACCACAGTTCCCATACTAACCACCGTAGGGGAAGCCCATGAGCAGGATGAGAAGGGCAAGATCCCTCTCCTGTTCGTATTGACCAGCAACTGGTAAACAGCAGCGCACAACTTCTGAGAGTGCGGGAAAACACTGTGGTCGTTCATGACTAGTAAGTAGGTACGAATAGCCCCCAGCTTCCATGAATTTGTTCGGTCTCCTTTTGAAGCTTTCCGATCTGAGGGACATCACATCCTTGTGAGGTGCCAATTTACCTTGCTCTAGCCCTGTACTGCGTGAAGACTTTTCCTCCTTGAACCTGTCCCGAATTTCTCACCATTCAGCTTCAAGGGATGATCCTGCTGGGTTCTAGTATTGCTGAAGAAGAAGAAGAAGAAACATGTTCCCTTTTCCTCTTTCTCCTCATCCCACATATGCCAAATTATTATTATTA